CGAAAATCTATTGACTTTTGGACCATGGGTCATATGAACTTTTTTCGTAATCACGGGCTATTTTTCAACACAAAATAATTCGATAAAATAAAGTATACGCACCATTAAAAGACTGATACAACTGATCGAACCAAAGACTCGTAATGAAAACCATACAATAACACAGAAAGAGTAGTAAGTAAAAAATGCTAAGATTTTACACGGCAGTGGTCGAGATTATCAAAAACTCTGTGTAATAACATTCTTATTTTTTTAAATTTTTGATCCTTTACTATTTCTTTTATTATGAAACTTTTATATAGGTGATTTTTGGTATATCAACTCCTTTTGACGAGTCCTACAAGGAGTTAAAATAAATGACTCAACTTTGAATTGTTCACGTGTGCTGTCAACATAAGATATTCATCAAGAGTAATTCCCAAATTTTTTGACCAATTCACTTACTTTAATAGTAAAACCATTTAAGCTTAGATTGAAATTATTTTTGATATCTTTTCTAAAAGGTTTTGGTAAAAAAATGACGAATTTTGATTTTAAGCAGTTTAACTGAAGGTTATGACTCTAATAGATCTAAGATCCTTTTTGACCTCTGACTTGGCTGTTTGAATGTTGCAACTACAAAAATGAATATAAATTTGAGAATCATCAGCAAAGAACTGAATACTGCAATGTTTTACAGAAGCTTGTAAAGGGTGGGCCATCAGTTGTTTTTTTTTAGGTAACGAAAATTCGTGAAGAAGGTTTGTGAAACTGGCCTGCTTATGGATAACAGAGTAATGAGCGTGTTCGACCGTTACCACCCAGAGTACTCTCGGTGGTAACGGTTCGACCCGTACGTACAGCCGAAAACATTGCTGTTGTTGCCCAGAGTGTGCGTGAAAACGCAAGAATGTCAACTTGTCACAGAGCACAACAAGTGGGCATCAGTTGCACTTCTGTGCGGAGAATATTGCATAACGACCTGGGATTATTTCCTTACAAGGTGCAACTTGTGCAAGAGTTGAAACAAAATGACCATCCACTTCGATATCGTTTCTCTGTGTGGGCTCTAAATGAATTTTAAACTGACGTCAAGTTTGGTCGCCAAATCATCTTTTCGGACGAAGCCCAAATCCATCTGGGAGGTTACGTTAACAAGCAGAACTGCATGTAAGAGTAACTGTTTGGTGTGGCTTTTGGAGTGGTGGGATTATTGGTCCCTACTTTCGTCAAGATGAAGATGGTAACAGCGTGACGGTACTCAGGGTACGCTATAGATACATGTTGAGGAGTTTTTTGTGGCCACTATTAGACGACATGCACTTGCACAATCTCTGGTTCCAGCAGGATGGCGAAACATGCCACACCAGCCGCGAAACAATTGATCTTTTACACATTAAGTTCGGTAATCGCGTTATCTAGCCGTTTTGGCAGTGGCGAAGCGTCCATGTAACCACTGTTACCATTAAAATAAACATTTTATGACTAAGTACTGTGAAATAATTACATTTATTTGTTTATCAACAGCGATGTGTAATAGTAATTTAGTAAATAGCAAATTAGCCCCTCGAAAATAATGCGCCCGATAGTGTCTAGGTTTTGCGAACACGATGAAGCTGACTCGCCTCGACTTGGTTGTGGGTTGTTACCATTTTCATTTATGGATACACCTGGTAGTCCGTCGGGGACCGTCGGTATCGGCTCGTGTCTTATCGCGGTCGCCCGAGTGCTTGGGGCGCTGCGACTATTATGTGGGCTTGTTACTATTTTTTGATTTGGTTACTCACTTCTCACTCGTTAGTAGCCGTTTTGGTTACTGGCTGTAGTGTGCTTGAAATTAAACACGGATGAGTGTCACTGCGTAATCGCTCAACTACTTGAAAAGTCATTCTTCTTGTATAATTTTTAAGAAAAAAATGAGATCATTGAAAATGGAAGACCAACACCTATTTTAGGTAATTTTAAAAAGAAATAAAAAAACGTAGTTGATATTTTAAATTAAGTTGGTATATGGAAACCCTTGGTTATGTGGTTGCCAAAAAACAGATTGTATTGTTGGCGATGTGTTTTATACAGAAAAAAATGGGTGGACGATTTAAATAGTTTTAGGGCTCTAAAGAGGAGACATGAAATTCTCCGTTGCATGTGAGATGTGTAACCAATTTAATTCAGCTTGGAAAAACAAGAATTGGAAGATGTCTTAACCAAGTTTTTAGGCAGCACACTTCTAGATACCGTATGTTTTTTGGCGAAACAGGAATTACCGCTCATTTTGAAGTGGATGACTCTGACAATAGAGGAAACTACAAGGAATTGTTAACATTCATTGCCAAAAAAGATCAAAAATTTTCCGAACATCTAGAAACGTCGACTGTTTTTACGGACGGCTTGGATTAGTCATAGCATAAGACGATGAGGTATATCAAGTGCCCCAGACGCTCAGTCCAGGAATGTTTACCTTAATTTAAAAATAGTTTAAATAAAATACCTAAAATAAGCAAAAACATATTTGGGAGGTTCAAAATAAGCTGTTTTTAATAAGATTTTTCACATCTGGTTTTGGTTACAGTTTAGGAAAAGTCACGCGTCGCCACTGCGTTTTAGAGACGTTTATTGGCCAGCCCGCAGCTATGATTTGAAGCCCATGGATTACTTCCTATGGGGTACTGTTAAGGATGGCTATTACACTAACGGTCTTCTAGCAATTGATGTTCTTAAGGAAAATATCCGTTGAGCTATTGATGGAATAGACCCGCAAACTATCGAAAATGAGCTTTAAAATTGGGTTCAGGGTATGGACTACTGCCAGGCTAGCCGCGGCAGCCATTTAACTGAAATTGTTTTTCATAAATAATCGGAAGGTGTATTCTTTTGAATGAAGTATCGAGTGTTACATATTATTGAAGAGTGTAGTTTTAATACCAATTTAAAAAAGAAACCAATGGATGGCCTACCCTATAGATGTGAGATATACGAGCTCTGTCTCAGTGAAGTTGGCCCAACTATCAAAACTAAGTTTTTTATGAAATTTGTTATATTAGAGGAAACGTATTAAAACTAAAATGTATTTCTGATAACATACGATATTTTTATTTAATATTAGCCTAAACTACTACCTTTTTTGTAACAAAAAGAAATATCTTACAGATTAAAAAAAATTGTCGATTAATACAAATCAACGAAACCAAATAGCAGCAAATCACCGCTGCGTTACATCGTCTTCTCGACTGATTACTGACTCGATACGTCTTGACATAGTGTCACCTAATGTTTGGCAGTCATCTAGTGAAAAAATGTTCTAAATTTCTTGGAGACGGTTCGCAGTTCTGGAACCGTTCTTGCGGGATTCGATCGGAGCTTTTTCTCCATGATATGCCACAAGGTTTCAATCGGCGATAGATCTGGACTACTCGACCTCCATTTCAAAACTGAAAAATTGTTTTCCTACATCCAGTCTTTCACTTTTTAAGCCGTTTGGAAAGAGGATCCACCTTGTTGGAAGATACATCCAATATTTTGGGGTATTAAGCTATTTTGAAGCACATTGAAGTACTTATCAGCATTCGTAATACCTTCAACAAGGTGTAAGTTTCCCACTCCACTTGCTAACATAGATCCCCAAATCATAACAGAAGCCGGAAACCTAACTTTTTTCTTAAGACAATCATTTTGAAACACTTCTTTAGTTCTTATTACACGACTCCTACTATCACCTACTCATACTTCAAATTTGGTTTCGTCACTGCAAATAATGGAATTCCATTGGTTCGAAGACCATAATTTGTATTCTTTGGCCTACGCTAGTCTTTTTTTCTTCTGAATCTTTGTCAGTACGGGCTTTTTTTGCCTAGAAATACTGAATTAAAAACGAATAATAAATAAATAATTATAGCCTACCTTGAAGCTTTAAATCCTAGTTTTTGGGCAGCTCTGTGATAAGTCGCTCTTGAAAACTTGTTTGTGGTTACCTGATTCCACAATATTTTCATTTATAATTAGCACGGCGATTTTCCTTGAGAATCCGTTTTAAGGCTCTCAAGTTGGTATTGGAATAACGCGGACGACTTCCTGTTCTAGGTTTTTGAGTCTCAGATCCCGTTGTTTTGTACAGTTTAATAATATTTCGTATGTATACTTCGATTTGTTAACACTGTCAGCGATTTGGGAAGCATTTTGGCCTTTTAAATGCAAGTGAACGATCACTTTTCTTATTTCGTCAGAAACAACTTTACCACGAGCCATTTTTAATTATTAACAACAACACCAATGCATTAAAAGTTGATTTAAACGTCAAAAATCAGCAGCTTCTTAGGCCCGTATTGTCAGTCGTCCCTACAATTGTAGGGCGCCTTTATGGCCTCCTTGATTGTCATAGTTTTCTACTTCTCCTTGTCAGCGCTCTATTTTGAGGTTATGTCACAAACATCTATTTGCCTCAAATTGTGCTTGCTTTTGAGTTATATCATGTTTTATCAGCCTGAATTTCCTACAATTTAAAAATAAAACATATCTTCACAATAGGAGAGCGCTGACGCTGACACGGGACGGGTGCAATCTAGAAATTTTTGAAGGAGAGAAAGGAGTATGACAATCACGGAGGTCATAAACGCGCCCTACAATTGTAGGGACGACTGACGATACGGGCCTTAGCAACGTAAAATGTTATCATTTGTTTTACAAAGCCTCCCTTTATTTTATCGAAGCGAATAAACAGACCACCCAACTTAAGTTGTCTCCATCATGTATTTTGCTATACATAAATCATTTTGTAAAGAAGACAATTTCCAAATAAAAACGCTTTAAAAATAGCCGTGTTATGTTATCTTTCCGTAAACATTTAAAACTGAAAATATTATATCTGAATTAAAATTTTAATTAGCTCTCAAATAAATTCACAATTATCGTGTTTTGGAGCGTTGGAACAACTTCACTGAGTCAAGGCTTGTATAAAATGAATAGCGGTGGTCCAAACACTTCAAGTACAATGTGCGCCATACGCTAAATAAATACATAAAACTTACTGGAGAAGAGACTTTTGAGCTTTAGCAAACTAAATCTCCCTTCACGAGTCCCTCACATTCACGGAACGCGGTAACAGTTCAGTTGTGCGAAACTCAAAGCTTTCGCGGAGTAGACTACACGAACGCCGATTCGCAACGGGATGCCGACGTTCACTTGTTATCTTAATTGGCGTCGCGGCGCATATGTAAACAAAAGGGGCTTCGACGTGGAGTATGTGCGTAGCTTTTCGCTGAAATATGAAATGCGTTTAATGCTATATATACGGTGACCCATAATTAACGCAAGATTTGAATTTGCCGCCAGGTTTGCAGTAAATTGTAGGCAACCCTGAAAAAAAAATAATTGCACAGCTGAGAGGTTAGGGTTAGTAAAAATTGAGCTTTATACGATACAACAACGTGTTTTTCATTATTGATTAATATTTCAAAAGTTTAGCGTCCGCAGTTCGAAAATTTTATACAAAATATGGCCGGAATAGTGTTTAACCAGTGCCGGATGCTCCGCTGTCCGATTTTCATCCGCCGGCGCGAATGACGTCACGCAGAGAGTGACTCTCATTTGGATTGATATGGATAACGTGCATATTTTCATCTACAGGCCAAACGGCTGGACGGATTTTCACATATGAGGTGTCGTTGAATTCGTCTTAGCGGTGCGAGTGACACAATCTACATCAAAATTTTATACAAAGCAAAATGGCGGATTTAATTAAAAGATTTCAACCTTGTAATTCCTATCTCACAGGCTATAGCTTAAACGGCTTTCTAGCTCCACAATAGAGCGTGCACGACTAGCAAAGTAGTGGTATAAGCTTTTGGTAAAAGAGCCGTTCAGCCATAAAATCTCTCTATTGTTGTTGCCTGAACACCAAAATGCTGGCTTAATATTGTGTGGAATACAAATTTGCTTTCTGCAACATATTTGCTCTAAAATGAGGTGTTTAAAATATTCTTATAGCTTAGTTATACAACACCTTATAGGGCAAATTTTTAACTGTTGCATAAACGTTTATACAACTATTTTATACGGCATATTTGCACGTTAGTCAAATGGTTGTGTTGTGGCATCCATGGTAACGTTTATAAAACAAACCTGAGCCTTGTTGTTTTGCTGGGCAATTTACTACTTTAGCCAACAAATTGCTCCCAACGGAAGCACTTATACAACTGTTGTTTAGTAACTGTTAAAGGCTGTACATATGCTAAATATGTTGGTATACAACTTCACCATAACCTAACTTTCTGCTGTCATATTTTTGTTAAAATGCCATAACCAATGTTTTAAGACAAACAACGCATGCATATTGGTTCAAAAGGTTTTATCAACTGTTCAATCAGAAGATATAGGTCTGGTACAAATTCTTTGTAAATTATTCGACTCTGTCGGTATTTCATTTCAGACATTTGTCAAATCGTTGTATAACACCTGCAGGCAGCACCAAAATATTCTAATAACCTAAAGACAACATGGACGATGCCATGATAATAGACAACCACCCGCCATATTGGGTAAACATTTATTCCTCTATTTAATATTAAATAATTATGTTTCAGTTCGAAATTACGGATATAAAGTGATAAACAATAGTGTAATTGTGTCTAAATATAGGATTTGTGGAAGATTTAACGCAAATAAGTTCAGTTTTCCATCTTAAAAAACTAGACATACTTTTGATCATTATCAAAATATGAATCAAATACGAAGCCCGTAGAAATTGCGTAACTAATTTGCACGATAATCACAATAAAATTTGTTGCGCAAGTAATTCAATATCCCTATATCGCAGTGTAGAAGTGTATCATATACATGTCCTTGAAACTCACAATGGCCGATATGTAAGTAAACAAGATGAATGTAATGTGTTAGTTATATATTCTTCACTTCGTCTATACAATACATAAGAAATAGTTTGGCTGCAATTAAGTAGAATCACGTAACAGAATAGTTGTATAGTTGACAAAAACTGAATCTTGCACTGACGCAAATGTCCTACCTGCAGCCCTTATACAACCTCTTAAATGACTGAAGTGTCCTATTAGGTGTGCCCATTCCGCTTGTATAGCTGTTCTAAGAGGGTTTTGCCAATGTTCTTACAGTATACAATGCTGTTTAAGAAATACTGTATAATCATTCTTGCAACTCTAATAGGAGCGCTAATTGTTAGTTGGGTGTATCATCACTTTACTGTAAAAACAAGATTTTTCTACATTACCTATATTTTAGTATGTTCTGTGGAACAGAATTAACATGCTCATGATGTTAATACTGCACTACATTTATTCATCCTTATTTCTCAGAACATCCTAAGTACTAACTACATGCATGTGTGAAAACGTACGCAACTCGAAAAGTAGAAAAATGGAGTTATCATCTTTTTGCAGTAAGCTGGCGGTATAACAATAAATGGAAATGACTTAGTCTGAGCCACCATTTTTCTCCATTTCCTTTTACGATTTTTCTGGTCTTTCAAGCTTGCATTCAGTTCTTTGAACCGGAAGAACATCCTTGACCTGAAAAATAGTTTCCTAGCTTTTTCAGGACAGTCAATGTTACTGCTCTTCAACAGAAGTTCGCCTATAAAATTTTGCTTTTCTGTCACTATTCCATCCTCATTGAATGTAGTAAACACCTTATTAAGCTTCTCAATTTGATTCATGGAAGCTGTGGAAGGTTTTGATAATCTACTCTTACTAAGATGATCTATCCAGGAATAAGTTTCATTTGAGGAACTTTTCAACCTCTCATCCTGCAATTTATGGCAAACAAAGCCGGCCAAATTTTTCAGCTCATCATACTCGAGCTCATCTATTTCTTCCACTAAAACTTCCTCGTTATAGTCAGCTGATACTTCAGGTGCATTCAGTTTATTCGTTAATGATGCGGTTAGTGGAACGTCCGGAGTATCCTCTTCCTCTACGCTGCAATACTCTGAGTATGCGCCTTCGTTTCGCCCCAAAATATATGACCTTATTCTATACTTAAACTCTAGGGGATAAGTTGAGTCCTTTGCCTCCTTTTTCGGAAGCACTTTTCCGTTTTTCCCATCAACAGATGTAGATGGTCCAGGTCTTTAAAATATTCTTATAGCATAGTTATACAACACTTTATAAGACAAATCTTTAACTGTTGCATAAACGTTTATACAACTATTTTATATGGCATATTTGCCCGTTAGCCAAAATGGTTGGGTTGTGGCATCCATGGTTACGTTTATAAAACAAACCCGAGCCTTGTTGTTTTGCTGTGCAAATTTACTACTTTAGCCAACAAATTGCTCCCAACGGAAGCACTTATACAACTGTTGTTTAGTAACTTTAAAGGCTGTACATATGCAACAATATTACAACTTTTGTAGTACAAAATTGCTGTGCTCGGCATACATGCTACATATGTTGGTATACAACTTCACCATAACCTAACTTTCTGCTGTCATATTTTTGTTAAAATGCCATAACCAATGTTTTAAGACAAACAACGGATGCGTATTGGTTCAAAAGGTTTTATCAACTGTTCAAGCAGAAGATATAGATCTGGTAGACATTCTGGGTAAATCATTCGACTCTGTTGGTATTTCATTTCAGACATTTGCCAAATTGTTGTATAACACCTGCAGGTAACACCAAAATATTCTAATAAACTAAAGACAACATGGACGATGCCATGATTATACACAACTGCCCGCCATATTGGGCAAACATCTATTCCTCTATTTAATATTAAATAATTATGTTTCAGTTCGAAATTACAGATATAAAGTGAGAAAAATTAGTGTAGTTGTGTCTAAATATAGGATTTGTGGAAGATTTAATGCAGATAAGTTCAGTTTTCCATCTTAAAAATCTAGACATACTTTTGACCATTATTAAAATATGAATCAAATACGAAGCCCGTAGAAATTGCGTAACGATAATCACAATAAAATTTGCTGCGCAAGTAATTCAATAGCCCTACATCACAGTGTAGAAGTTTATCATATACCTGTGTATGAAATTCACAATGGCCGATATGTAAGTAAGCAAGATGACTGTAATGTGTTAGTTATATATTCTTCACTTCGTCTATACAATACATAAGAAATAGTTTAGTTGCAATAAAGTAGAATCACGTGACAGAATAGTTGCATAGTTGAAAAAAACTGAATCTTGCACTGACGCAAATGTCTTATAGCGGCTGCAAGAGGCTTACACTTTTGTTGTATAACTGTTACCTGCAGCCCTTATACAACCTCTTAAATAACTGAAGTGTCCTATTAGGTGTGCCCATTCCGCTTGTATAGCTGTTCTAAGAGGGTTTTGCTAATGTTCTTACAGTATACAATGCTGTGTAAGGAATACTGTATAATCATTCCTGCAACTCTAATAGGAGTGATAATTGTTAGTTGGGCGTGCACTGCAGTAACGTTACGACAATCCTGCCACTGCTAACCACGAGCCGACAACTCTCTGGGTGACGTCACGAAGCTCCGCCAACATGCGCAACATCTTATCTTCAGTGTACATGCGTATCGTGGTGTTTAACCTCATCAAATGTGAACAGATTAATTGAAAAATTCAGGGAGACTGGAACAGTTGAAAAGATATTTAGAAGTATCGATACTCTTACTATGTAGGTATACCCGATATTTTGGATCGATATTTTTAACACACTTTTATTAGCTTGGCCTGTATGCAAAAGTATGTATGTATCTAACGAAATCTTTGAGCATTATTTTCACCAATTTCCAGAAGTTTGATTAATTTGAAACTCGCACCCGCATCAAGGACTGATGACAATGCAATAATTTGATAAGAGTTTTCCATTATCCTTATAAGTAAAATTCTGTAAAAAGCAGATACAGGGTTTGTCCGGAAAGTAATAGGACTGAGTCGATTTAAAAAAAATTATTGAGCCAATCGTAACAATTCTTTAAAAACTTTCAAAATAGGCTCCTTCTGCGTCGATGCAGCGCTGCCAGCGCGATTTCCAAGCATTGAACGCGTCACGGAAGGCATTCTCCGGAATAGCCTTGAGAGCCGCGCTGCATGCTGCTTGGATCCCCTCTGTCGTCTCAAATTGCTTGCCTTTCATCGCCCTTTTCAGGCGAGGAAACAAAAATAAGTCCGGAGGGGCCACATCTGGGGGTGTAGGGCGGCTACGGAAGCGTTGGGATGCCGGCCTTGGTCAGGTAGCTGTTCACAAGAAAGGCGTTGTGAGCC